CACCGGGACCCTGGGGGTAGGGTGCCTGCTGAGGCGGCGCGCGTGCTGCTGCTGCTGTTGCTGCTGTTGCTGCTGCTGCTGCTGCTGCTGGAAGTGAGGAGGCTGGGACTGCGGCGGCGGAGGGGGAGGGGGGGCAGGCAAGCCGGGAGGACCCTGAGGCATCTGGTGCTGCTGGGGTCCCATCTGCTGGTCCTGGGGAGGAGGGGGAGGGGCGAGGCCGCCCTGGCCGCCGCCCGCCATTATGCCGTTGAACAGACCATTGCCCGAGGGAATGGAAGGAGGCTGTTGAGAGGGTGCGTTGTGGGGAGGCGGGCCGCTGTTCATGCCGGGAGGAGCATTTTCCGCCGCGACTGATCTCGAGTTGCCGGCGAGATGACCCAGCTCTTCTTTCGTACCTAGTGATGGTAGTGTCAGTCAGACGAGGAGGACCCATGGCACGACGATCGTGTCGGGGGACAAAGGCGAAGGGGCGATCAATCGAAGGGGTGCTACGGATAGGCGTCGCGCAAAGAGCTTCGGGGAGGGGAAGGGGGGAGGGGAGCGCGAAATGCGTCGTTTGTTGATGACACGCTGACCGACGAGGTGGACGGACGTGCAGCTCGGCGACGGGTCGTAGGCGAGCAAACAGCAATAGAACGGGCTTGTGTGTTCAGCTCGTCAAATTGGCGTGCGCGAAACGCCGCGTGGGGATAGCAGACGGTTGGGTCAATGATGACAGGCCCCTGGGCGCTGTCTGTTGAGGTGTTGAACAATGATGCGCGTGGGGATGGCGATGCCGGGATGCGTATTGATGCCACGATGGGATGGGGGTGTAGAGGTGAAAAAGTTGGGTTGGGCCGAGCTGGGAAAGAGGTTGGAGCACGCACGACCGTGGAGCAGTCAGTAGCAGCAGGCTGGGCTGGGAGAAGAATCTGGGAGCCTGGCCTGGCGTGTGGGTTCTGTGAATTGACGGCGGAAAGGCAGAAGGCACAAGGCACAGGGGGGGGGAAGACGCGCGAGGAAGGAGCCGCCTGCGACCGACCAGGCGCAACCAGTGCTGCACCGGGGCGCTCTGACCTGGGGGACGTGGGTACAGGAGAGGAGGGGGGTCCACCCGGTGGGGCGGCGGCAGGTAAAAAAGATGGATGCAAGACCGCGAGTACATGCACCAGCCGTAGCATTCGTTCGCAGCCCCTGCCAAGTCTCTCAGCCATGCCCCTAGAACGATACATCCAGCCATGTACCTCGTGCTGTTGGTCGCATCCTTTAGGGGGGGTGTTCACTGGCATGGTCTGTGCTGCTCCGATGTAAGTGCTCCAAAGTATCAGACCAGCCCGGACACACCACACTGCAAATGTCTTGGCTGATAGTCATTAATGATTGCTCACATGAGGCGCAGGTCGCTAGGCTTTCCACTCGCCCACCTCCCGCTCCCGGGGCCGAAGTAGGGGGGGCTTGGGGGGGGGGAAGGGCTTCACCAGGGAGGAGGGGTCACCTTGTGCTGCTGTTACAGCCACAATCACTGACTGTCTCTTACCTGGTCAATCACGGCCCTGTGCTACACTCCATGCGATATCTTCCCGAGAGAGTGTGTGAGAGGGGGGGTGGCAAGAGGAAATGGCAGAAAACGAAAGAAAGGAACGAAATGGAAGCAGAGCAGGGCGGCATTCAAGGTTAGCTCACGGTGCCTAAGGCAAGGTACCCAACAGGAGCCCTTTTCCTAATCCGGATGGCCGATACTGGTCGGCCTCGTGCTCTCACGCGTCAGGCAAGTCATTCTGGAAAGGGGGTCGACGGAGAACAACAAAGTGTCCCAATTGTCCCTGGGTTAGGTGACTTGGGGACGAAGAGGGGGGGAGCCTGGGGATTATGTAAACAGCTCCGGGCTAACGCGGGTGGATCTCGAACAATCAACCCGTCGGCGATTTGAGAAGAGAAACCAGATCGCCCTGTTTCCTCTGGCGACTGATGCCGGGCAAGCGAGAAAGCTTGTATTCCACTGTTGCAACTTTTTCCAGCAGGATGTAATAAGCCAAGGCTTATGGTCGGCTGGCTTTTCATGTCCACATGTCCGTCTATTCATCGTTCTGTTCCTACCACGTCCCTCTGATCACAGCTGATCATCCGAATTGGGGTGCGCCTGGTGGCGCGTCGCAAAGACCTGCCCTGGCCAGCCGCCGCTCGAAGATCACATTCTTGATGGTGTCTGGCCGTAGGTGTCTTCTCGACACACGCAGCGTCGAGCTCACGTGTTTGCCAGTGCGAATACGACAGTGACTGCCTGGAGTGGCAATCATGCGCAGCGCACTGTGTTGCGGTTGATGAGGATGTTAGGAACCTGGGCGAATCAATACTGTCAATTTATGTTTTGGGGGGGGGGGCTGTTGTCGAGCGCCGGCCGGCCCCCGTCGACAGACATCGTGCCATGATCCAATTGCCAGGCCGAACCTTCCCACTTGGGCACGATGAAAGCACCAGGGTTAATGAAAATCGAGCGATCTGCCCATCTGGTCCGCGCTGGCTCGTCCCATTGAGTAGCAGGGGAAGAAATCGCCCACGTTTACCATGCCCGCCGTGTATAAGTAAAATGAGAGGCGCCTTCCAATTGCTCAAGATGCAGCCATTCTTCAGTGCCCAGCAGCCTTTTGCTGTCCCATACTTATCATCCAGGCCTTCGAGGACTGGTCAATCTCCGGCATTCGAGTACGAATAGAGCTGGCCACTCATGCAGACAAAGTAACGAAAATAACCATTGTCACTTCCAGCCAAAACTCGTTCTTCGCACACAGACGACTGGAAAAATCGCCGACAATTCGCATTGGCGCAGTCTCATCTTAAGATATCTGAACCCAACACGCTTGAACACCTGTTCACTGCCAGATCTTTCTTTGCCAGCTCTCCGGAGTCGCTAGGATTTCTGCCGGACACTCCATTCTATCAAGCCGACTTACCCGCATTATGGATATTGTACTTGAAATTGCAGATACATTCGCTGCCGACCACCTCTACGCCTGGCTACTTCCGGCGCGCCAGGCTCCATATGACATCTCTCTAGACCCCCCTTCCAACATCACATCAAGTACACTTCTGGCATGGCAATACAAGCCTGCTACTCGGGGGATGTACCTCGAACCAACAGACGCCGCCTTTGCGAGCTGGTGGAACAGGGACAACATCGTCCGTCAGCTCATCACCCTCTACACCATCACTGTGTGCGTTACCGCTCTTCACCAAGCTGCCCATCCAGCCCAGGGATGCTGACTATCATCTTCAGGGTCTTTGGGTTTCTCATCTACTTCATATTTGCCTCGCTCTCGTACGTCTTTATCTTCGATAAAAAAAATCTTACCCACCCCAAATTCCTCAAAGATCAAATCCGGCTCGAGATGATGCAGGCTATCCAGGCCATGCCTGTGATGGCCCTTTTTACGGCTCCCATGTTCGTGCTGGAGGTCAGGGGCTACGCCAGGCTCTACGACACCACCGAGGAGGGGCCAGGTCGATGGTACGACTTTGCGCAGTTCCCAGTCTTCATACTCCTTACCGACCTGCTCATCTATTGGATTCATCGTGGCCTGCATCATCCAACGATCTACAAGCGCCTGCACAAGGGCCCATCACAAATGGATCATGCCTACACCCTATGCCAGTCACGCCTTCCACCCACTGGATGGTTTCGCTCAGTCTTTTCCTTATCACATTGTGCCAATGGTCGTTCCTCTGAACAAATGGGCTCACGTGGGGCTGTTCATATTCGTCAACTTCTGGTCCATTCTCATTC